AGAAGCCAGATCGTAGGCATGAATTGTACAAGGCACATGAATGGGCCCGATCTCTCCTGGAGAACGATCAGGTAAGAGCTGTGGCACCTGGAATTAAAGAACTGAAGTTGTTGGAACCCTGAATACTGAGAGTACATGGCTTTCTGTGCTGAAAGGCACAGACTTTCAAGGGAGCATTACATTTGACTTGAGACTATGGAGAAGGCTTCTAAAATTGAAGGACAACTGAGATTATAGGTGTGTAGTTTGAATAGAAGTCAATGTAGATTGCCAACTCCATAACTTAGTTCACAGTCACTCAGTGAAAAACATTCTCTGAATATTCTTAGAATCCTTGAGAGTTTAGCTTGAATAATGATGCCCTCTGAAGGACAAACTGTTCTGCATAGTTTTTGTTGTCCTGAGAGTATAGCTCTGTTCCATTACTTCTACAAAATGAAAAGTCAAACTGTTAAGCTGATTATCTTGTTCAATCCCCACTGTGCATAGAGTCTTTTTAGTGATTAGAGCACTGGATGCTCATGCAACATTATATCAGAATTATGTGCTAGGAAGAGGGCAGGAGTGTTGTGATTTAAATCATATGCTGGATTAAGAACGACATAGTTTGGAAAGGTATTTTTCTTGAAAGAAAAATTTGCACATGACAGTTTTGCAAGTCTTGTGTTTTGCAATTCAATGCATTTCTGTTAATTTTTAACTGAAAATGCTATATGAGAAGAAAGGACACTTTGCAGTGCCATGCAGTACATGGGGCTGAAAACCTGAGAGCTGAAAACCTTCCATGGTAAAAACTTAGTGTTGAAGATCTCTTAGGCAATTAATTTTGGAATAAGTAAAGTCAGGAAGGGGATTATTCTGTATTGCTTTTCCAAATGACTGAGATAGAACTTTTGACGTCATTGTGCAGGTAGTTCAACTTCTCAACATTTGCAATTACAACTACAGCAATAAACTGGATAAGTGGTTTTAGGGAAGTGAAACAGAGGGAAAGATGACCAAGGCACACCTGTCAAGCTTTTATGGGTATTCAGGCAATTTGTGGAAGACCCTCACATAGTTGGATTGAAGTCCCACAGAGGATTGGCTTTTCTACAGTTTTCCTCTGTGTGTATTTGCATGGGTCAGAGTGTTGCTATCATAACAACATTCAGACCTACCCACTATTGATAAAGGAAGCTATGATAACCTTTGCTAGTACAAACATTATTTAAATGCAGTTTGGCTAGATTATTAATTTCTTGGAATGGTGTACTTTAAAATCTGTGGCCTCTGGTGACATTGTTTTAATGTGCAGCTGGCTCTCGTATTATTGTGCAAGATGACTTAGGGAAGACCTGGAAGAGGCATCTTAGCATCTTGTGGACTCTTGCCTGATAAAGTCCCCACAATGTGACACCAATAGTTGTGGTAGAAAAGAAAATGCAGTTTCTGCTCAGGTTTCATGTTATAAAAGCTGCTCATCCAAAAGCCTAAACCTTAGGTGAGATGCCCTGCTCTTTCTGGACAAAATTCTAAGAAAAATCCCAAAAAACTCAGAACCACCACTCATTCTAAATGACTTTGGTTTACCCTGAAACTCAGTTTTGAAAGCTGCAAGCAAAACAAGCAGCACTTCTCCATTAAATAAAAAAGAAAATAAGAAAAAACAAGAGTTTAAATAACATCTGGATAAAATGAAATTACACCTTTTCCAGGAGTAAATTTTCTAGAAACACAAAGAGCAGTAAATCAGAATGGCACACAAGACCTCCCTGGGATCTACAGTCTTAATACTGTTACATGACACATCATTTCAGATCTATTCATCATCTTGCAGGTGTTGACTTGAGAGATGCACATGCAAATACCACAATCTGTTCAATTCTTAGGGCTTCCAGTCTTCTCACATAGTTCTGTTAGTGGGATTACAAGCTTAAGAACTTGCTTTACCTCTATTATATGTACAAGCCTTGTATAATTTTCCTCTATCCATCTTTCACCCTCTTCCTTTTTTGCTTTAAACTTATCAATTCCTTTTTGATTATTTTTCTTAATGCACAAAATGTCCAGGACTGTTCCTTTAAGCCTTTGGCCATCCAAAATAACTAATAACAGAAGTAGTTTGTACTTAAAAAGGCTTTTTCTTTTTAAAAATATTTGAAATTATTTCTGTAACAAAGAGAGTAAAATGCTTTAATGAGCCTGTTTGCTGGTTAACTGAGTTTGGTTATTTCATGCCTTTAGGATAAAGGCCAGAAACTGATGAGGATTATGTTAGACCTTGAAAAACAAGGTTTAGAAGCAATGGAAGATATCCTTTCTCGTACAGAGATTCTGGATCCAGCTGAAGTAGTGGATCTTTTCTATGACTGTGTTGACACAGAACTAAAGTTCTTCAAATAAAGTAAGCAAACAATTCTTTAGGTACTACTCTACCAGTGAATGTGAAATGTTGGATCTGATTCTGAACCTCCTCCTCTTTTACACTAAGCTGAGGATGTTAAGAATTGGTTTCATACCCATCTTTCTACCTGCTCAGCTTGTCTCCAAAGTCCCTTTTCCCTATGCTGCATTGCAGGTGATTTTTTTTTCAATTTCACTCTTGCTTGGCATGGATTTTCAACAAATTTTATCTCATTTCAGCTACAGTGGCTATTGTTAGCCCTTTCACTGGAAGACTGCAATGCTCTTCAAGCCTTGAAAGAAAGTCTTCACACTTGTGATTTTGCAGGAAAAAACATTTCTAGAGGAAAAAATGTTACTTGCTAGCTGTATCCGGTTAACAAATTGCTTTCCTTCGTCCAATCTTGTGGTGTTCCTGTTTGTGTATGTATATAGTGAAAGGAGAAAGTCACTGACTGGTCCAATTACTGTGTGCATGCTGGCTAATTTAGTACAGAATGTTAAAACATGTATGTTGGGCAACCAATTAAAGTAAAGATTTAACTTCATCAGGCTAATTGCCATATTGTCATTGAAAGCAATCTGGTTTTCCCTCTGTTGCTCAGGACTGGGCTTGCAGCAAAGCTGGCTTGCATTTTTCTCTTCTTGCCAGTTCATACAGAGTTGAAATGGTAGAGTTGAAAATCACAGTTTGAGACAGGCAGGAAGGTAAGTCCTGGCTCTTAACCTTGTTGTGCTGGCCTCATATGGCCATATCTGGTTGCAGTAACGCAGCACCTGACATTATGCCTGTACAAATTATAAGAATTCAGCCCCCAGGTTAAGTTCTGCCCTCGCCCTCAGCCAGCTTGTGTTTGTAGTGCACCTGACTGCTGCTCCAGAACTGAGTCCTGAAGTGCAGAGCCAGCCTGGATCTGCAGAGATCTACACATATTGGCTCTTAAGATGCAATTAATAACGTGTGAGATTTATATACAAGCTACAGATTTGGAATCTTTTAAAGGAATAGATGCTGGACATTGATAAGTACCTGGCTATTCTCCATCTTTCTGCCTTTGTACTGCTGAACAGTTCCTGGTAATCTCTGCTGTGAGCCACATGGCTGATGAATCCATTAAGTACCAGTGAGTTGCTGGTGGGTGTGGCAATCCAGCTGGTTAGGCTTAGAAATGGCTGTCCCATGCTTCCTTACATTAGGTGCAGTGCTGCAGCATGCTTCCCTTCCTCCACAGTCCTACAGGCAGACCTGCTTCTCATTGTGTTTTCTTCTTGTGGAAGTGAGGTAGGGCAAACCCTGAGAATTACACCAGTAAACACTGTGTCCAGTGAAGATGGATGGTGGGTTTTTTCATACATGAGGGTTGAAAGAGGACGTCCATGTCTTTAGTAAGTGGAAGTTAACATATGGAGTTAAAATCCTTCACTGTTTGAGAAAATGGATGGTGAAGAACCACGGGCTTCTGTATTGAGGAAGTAAAACTCCTTAGAAAGCAGAAACACCTCAAGTTGAAACTGTAAAAGTTGTGCATCAGGGAAATAAGTCATTGCCATATTGGGACACTGCATTCTCAGGATTTTTAAAATGAAATTGTTCCATTCAGACTCATTACTTTGGTATTGCCTTATATGACAAATGGCAATTGGACAAGAAAACATGGGGCCTTTTCACTTACAGAAAACAAGAAAGAATATATTTTTTCTTAAGGCCTACCTAATAATCTCCCATTCACAATGAAACCCTCCCATGCTGTCTATCCTAGGAGCAACTCGTGTGTCTAAGTATTTTAAAGTGTAGACAATAGGAGAAGGAAATATTCAAGTAAGATCCCTGAAATTTAGCTGCTCTGTGTGGCAACCAGAGGAGGGGCTGACTGCAAGAAGCACACTTGATTTCAGAAAGTATTGGGGGGGATGAAGCCCACTGAAAGAGAAATGTGCTTTTTCCAGCTGCCCATAACGGAAGTAAATGGATTTCCCATGAAATCACATCTCTTGATAGGAGTAGCTGGGTATTTCTGCACAATCAGGGAACAGGAATAAAATGATTGCTCCAGTGAGAGGACAAAAATTAGGATGTACTACTTCTCACAGTTATTTTGCAAGACTTGGATCTAATCTTTGAGAACTGGGAGGGAGGCAAGATGAAAGAAGTGAGTGTTCCTGTTAAAAACATGTATCTTATTTGCCTGTTTCTTAAGAAAGAAGAAAGCAACACTTGCAATTATCTCATGGGCGTTTATGTCCTTATGTGGAACTGCTTATATGACAGAATGAATATATTGTTTTGAGCACAGTGATCCAGGTAGTAATTTTCTAATAGTATGTTAATTTTGCTTTAGTTGTATAGTGCATTTAAAAACCAAAACCAGCTGTGGTACAGCAACATGGTTGGGTGCAGTCACTAGAAACCAGAGCAACTGCATGGTCTTAATATTTGCAGTGGTCTTGAACAGAGGTGTGTCTCAGTGGAAGGACACAGTGGGACTTCTGGGATCAGCTGTCTCAGGGTGACAGCCAGTGTGATCCTCTGTATCTCCAGATGCTTCAATGGATCCTGAATGACAAATATATGGAAACATTTCAGAAATGCTAGCAAATAGGCACAGGATTTCTCATTTCATCCTTGAAAGATGCTGTTTATTTCTAAAATACCCAAACCATAATAAAAAATGGAGTAAAATTTTCTTCTCCTTTATGTATCTGCTGGCAGGTAGTCTAGAATTAGTTTTAAAATCCTTAGGAAGGTACTTACTAGAGAGAAGTACAAAAATTCCAGAGTAAAGGAGAGCCAACAATATGCCACTTTTAATAATACTGTAACAAAATAGTTTTTAAAACAGTATTCAACTTTTCCAGTTGTTTGAGAAGCAATGTAGATGTAGACCTCTGTTTGTTACTACATTCATGCATATTTATCAGGTAACTACAGTAAGTGACACTATTGGTCAAAGCATCACCACTTTTTTTTCTTTTCACCTGATGTACAGCAAGTTATCACAATAGGCTAAAAACAGATTAATGTTGATTTCTTGGGAGTCCTATGGGTGAAGAGCTTCTTACCCCTACACCCTCTCACACCATGAATGTGTATGTGTGGGAATAGTTACAGCATAACTGAGCTGCTGTAACAACAAAGAGAAAAGCAGGGATGTAAAGATGCAGTTACCTGTCTTTTCCTAAAAGTTTTGTTCAAAGGCAATACCATGGGGAAAGATCATCAATGACCTATATAACATTATTACACCTCTAACTGAGGGGAATTGATGGCAATTATATAAATTAATGCCTAACTGTAATAGCCTGGCTGTTAGCACCAGACTCACCCTGGAACAGCAGTATTCTTTTTCAGACTGGTGAATCATGGAATCATTTATACTGGAAAACAACTCTTGAGATCATCTAATCCAGCTGTTAACCCAGCACTGCCAAGTCCACCACTAAACCATGTCTCTGTTATGCCTTGTGAAGGCTGACCTAGAACAGAGACTAGACAGAGTTAAAGAATAAAGCAGGTATTATTAGAAGGCCTCAATGACTACACCTTGGGAAGTACACCCAAGATGAACCCAAAATGGTCACAAAATAGATGACCAGTCATGTGGTCTCTCACTTTTATAAGTTCTGGTCCATTAGCATATTGGAGTTAATTATCCAATTATAGCTTTAGATTATGAAGTCCCATCCTTCTTGGTTTTCTCTCTTCCTTCCACTGTTGTTTATACTCTTGGGCCTGAAATTTGGATCATTTGCCCTTGGTCCCCAGAACCAAGGGTCCTTTGTCTACCTATTCTGTGAAGAGACCTTACTATTCCCTAATATGAAGCTCAGAATTACACACTAAAGCGGTACAGAATCTGAAAAATGTAAAAGCTAAAACCTGAGGCATCACCTGAGTGCCATATCTACAAGTATTTTAAATACCTGTAGGTATTAAATGGTGACTTCCACCACTTCCCTGAGAAGCCTCCAATGCCTGACCACCTTCCTGGCGAAGATGTTTTTCCAAATATCAAATCTAAACCTCCCCTGGCACAGATTGAGGGCATTTCTTCTTGTCCAGTACCTTTTTACTTGAGAGAAGTGACTGACCCCTACATTGGTACAGTATCCTTTTGGGTTACAGAGAGCAATGAGGGCCCCTCTGAACCTCCTCAAGCCAGCATGTTGTTGGCCTTCTTGACTACCTGAGCACACACTGGCCCCTGTTTAGCCACTGTCAGCCAGCACACCCCAGTCCTTCAGTGTCAGGCAGATTTCCAGCCACTCTGCTCCCAGCGGTGCCTTAGGTTGTTGTAACCCAGGTCTAGGAACCCAGAAAAGCTGTAAAAAGGGGAATCAAAGGGTGCTTAGGATTGAAAGGGATGGCTACAGGTCATCTGGTCCAACACCCCTGGCCAAACAGTCTCCTACTGCCAGCTGCCAAGGACAAAGTCCAGATAGCTTTTGATTATCTTTAAGGTGTGAGATTCTACAAGGTCTGTGGGCAACCTGTACCAAAGCTTACTCACTTGCACAGTCAAAAAGTGCTGTCTGATGTTCTGCACCTCCTGTGTTGCAGCTGCCCATTTCCTCTGGTTCTGTCACTGGACATCAGAGAAAAGAGCCTGGCTCCATCTCTATACCCTCCCTTCAAATACTTATATTCATTGGAGACATCCCCTCTGAGCCTTCTCTTTTCTAGGTTGATCAGTCGCAGCTCTCTCAGCCTTTCCTCATAGGAGAGATGCTCCAGCCCCTTCATCATCTTTGTAGGACTCTCTCTTCAGCATGGCCATGTCTTCTTTGCACTGGGGAGCCCAGAATTCGGACACAGCACATGTGGCCACACACCAGGTGTGGCCTCACTAGTGCTGAGCAGAGGGGAAGAATTACTTCCCTGACACCTCCCTGGCACCACTCCTCCCAAGGCACAAGAATAAGGGTAATAAATGCTAGAAACAGACATCTTAGGACCAGATTTGAACATCTGTGATCCAAACACCTTAGCCAAGGTCTGAATATTAAAAGCAGTAGTTCCAGTCTTGTCTGCTGCTAGACTGTTACTTTTCCCAACCAACTCTATTTGAGACGAGAACCACTTTGGGGGCTGAGTGTTCCACGTGGTGTGTTTCAGACAATGAACCTTCACTGTGAACAGTAGTAGCTCTAAAATGTAGGTTTTGGACCCCTCATCCAAAGGCTTTGGAATTGCTGGGTAAAGGCAGTCTATCACAGAAAAGGTAAATCCCCACTTTGCCAGCAGGAAAAGACAGGACATGTGCCCTTACATACACTCATCACAGCACGTGTATTCACACACACCATTTCCATTTCTTGCTTACAATAGAGCAACTTCCTTTTCCTCTACTTTGGAAAGGTTCTGTCATCTTTGTCAAGTCCATGACCACCCTACCCAGCTGGGCTTCTTCAGACACTATCCTATAAGGATACGTAATCATTAGGAGGTAGGCTCATTAGCAGCCACAGCTCCTTGGCATCTCCTCTTCATGCTTCATGAGAAAAGGGTTGTGGGCCCATCCCTTCATGAAAGTGACATCCTGCTGCAATCTGAGGCCAGGCAGAATGAAAGAAGTGAGGAAACATAAAAACAGACTAAAGATAGCATATTAGTTTAACAGTTCATTGAAAAAAATGTCTAAAGAATAACTGGAGAATTTCCAAAAATTATGATGGAAGAGGAAAAAAGAACTACAGGCATGTAGCACAAAACATTCTGAGGTAACACTGTCAGCACAATAAGAATGACAATTGTTTCAACACTACAAAGAATTTAAATTTTATGCTGCTTTGCTTAAAAATATTCACCTATATACAGTAATTTAAAAGCCTGTACTAACATTCCTGTAGTATGTAGGCCAGTTCAAAAGGTATAATTTATATTGTTTTACAGTTTATAGAAATGTTAATATTGCAGTACTTGTGACTCAAGTACAATACATCACTGCAACAGGGACCCCTTCTGTCTTATATATTATCTTGATCTTCTTTTTTAATACTAGTCCAGAGAACATCAGAAGACTCTTCTCATCTCACGTGTGTTCTTAATGGAGGATTTTTAGAGGGATCTGTAAATAGATAGAACAGATTTTAAACAGGGATTTTGGATGCAGTTACATAGCAGGGATGCTGCATTTATCTGCTACCCCTGGTATATACATATGTATGTTTACATACATACACACACATATTGCTTGTGCTCTGCAGCCCTTCAGTAAAAAGTCAGAATATACAGCAGACAATTTACATTTAGCCTGACTGAGGCTGCTATGAAAAGTCATGCTAAGTACCTTAGCATGGAAACAAAAAAAAAAAAAAAGGTTAATTAAAGTTGGAGATCTAAATAATACAGAAAATTGGGTTTTATAGAAAAGCAGAATATGGGCATGAGATCTTCTGTCACTTTAAACTACCCATTTTCAAAACTGGATAGCTGAACTGTTCTTACAACAGTGACCTGATTCTAAGTTGCTAAGTTAAGAAAGGAGAAAAAAAAATAAAGCAAGGTTCAGCCATTTATCACTTCCTGACAAAGTTCAGGTACTAAGTCTCTGTTATTCAGGTGTGTAAAACACCATGCATAGGATTCAAGTCACAATACATAATGGAAGACATGGATCAAGTAATCTTTCTCAGTGATTTCACAAGTTAGTGAAACAAAAAAAAAATCAAACTCAGTAGCTACCCAAATCTGTTTTTCCAACATGACTGTTTTTAATATCACAGGTTTTGCAAATTTACCTATCTGAAAACACAGGCTACATGTCCAGCCACATCATTTGTTTTTACCTAAGACTCTAAAGTAACTAAGTGCTTTTCATTGTATCTTTAGTCCCTGTTGCCACTGTGAAAAATCTCATTCTTTTCTGTGCCAATGCCAGCAGTCCAGCTATGCTAATGCTGGTTCAGTTCTTTATTTTGCATCCCCATTTTTAAACCTTTTGATAATGATCAGATCTTTCCATGTTTACACACTTACCTCTGGGTATCTTGCTGGGATATGTTTTCTGAAATGGTTTGAATTCATCAGGTGGGGGGAAATCTTCCACAGAATGGAAAGTAAATTTTGATTCAAAGTCATCTGGGAAGTTTCAGGGAAATAAACATTAGCTGATGCTGGAGAGAAACAACAACAAGAAAACAAAAACACTCAAAGAAAACCCCCAAACCCATCTATGTTGCCACAAGTACTTTCTATTAAAAATGCTGGCTTATTTTCTCCTGGAACTGATAGTGGCTCATTCTGCATAAACCATCTTGATGAGTACTTCTGTGAGCCGCCCCAGTTTTTTGCCTTAATTGCAATCACTGCCTGCTATTAAAACTGAAGTTAAGTCTGCTGTTCCAGTTTTCTGCATTGATTACGGTATTATGGTAATAGCGGTATTCATTGGTAGTTTAAGACATGTAGTTGTAAACAAGAATGAATGGCCAATTCATCACATCACAAAAATAATTCTTAAAATAATTCTTACTGGTCTTTGACCTATAGGAGTGAAACTTCTAAATGTCCATGATCTGGTTTGAAGAATGGTAAGTTAGTATGATATGCACACTATCGGAACTCTTCATATTTTTAAGTAACTTTGCAGGTAGTGCGTGCTTTCCTTTCTACTGACTGAATTCAAATCTTCTTTGAAAAAGCCTTAATTTTCTATAATTGTATAAGGTTGTACAAAAATGTTTCTATTATACTACCCTGTTATTGCTAGGACAAAGTCTTGAGTGAGTTTTTGAGGTCTGAGACACACACAGGCTTTTGTACTAAAATTATTAACTAAGACCAAGAGATTTAATTTAATAATATTACCAATGATGTGCATATTTCCATTTTTAAGTGGTGTGTAGGGGTCATGAGCTGTAGCCCAGGCTGAGACTCCAGACTTGCTTGTAAGTTCAGTTGTTGGGGATCTTGCAGGTGGCTGTGGAGGTGTGACCAGCTTCCCAGCACCGGTTCCTTTAAAAAAACCAGGAGACCAGCACATAAGCATCATCATGACTTAACCCAACAGTAAACTACAAAAAAGTGGAGGGGGTGTAGAAAGAATGCAGTATTTGGGGCAAACATACCCATAGATGTTGTTTGCCAAGCCTGACCACAGAATTGTAGCATTAAGTATTGAATTCAAGTCACTACTGGAATTGGCTGGGGCTTTCCATTTCCAGTTCTAAGGAAAAGTGTGACATTCTGAAGTGTGGTTTTGTCCCAGTCTGGAAGGGAAGATTATCCTTCCACTTTCACAAGAAGAAGCAGTCTCTTTAAGCAAAGGAAATCAACGAAACAACCACACTAGGTGGTATGTCTAAAAGAAAATTTCTTGATGCTTTGGCAGGAAATGCAATGGAATTATCATTAGTCTTGTGCATTTCGCTGAGGAGTTGCAAGAGCCATCAAAGTTTACATCTGGATGAACGCAGGAGTTGTGTGACAGGAAGGGAGCCCAAGGCCTCCAAGTCAGTAGCCTCTCAAAACTGCTTATCCTCCTACATAAAAAGGGACAGGCAGGGTAATTTTATGGAAAACACAAATTGAACTAACATGAGAAATGGGCATCTCAACATAGCAAGAGTTCATCAGAGAGTTCTGAGCAGCAATAAGCACCACCACAAGGCACCTGACTTGCTGTACTTACACGGCCTTTCCCCTGGCTCTCAAAGGGAACCTGTAATCTTTCTCCTGACATCTTGCTGCTAAAATACAGGGTACAGAACATTCTCTTTCAGATGTTCCCTGTTAAGTAGCTGTCTCCATTTCTCAAACCCACACAGATCTAGGCTCATGCTCATCTTTTTTATTATTTTCATTACATTAGAGGAGTCTAACATAATTTCCCTCTATCATCTACTCAGAAAATACTGGATAATACCCCGCTTCCCAAGTAGTTGGAGAAACCTTTGGCCCAACTACCTTGATCGCAGGAGGCACTGGCTGCTTCCCTTTGTGGAACAGCAGAGGGCTGCAGCCAGATTTGCTTTTGCTCACCTATGGCTGGTAGCTGCCCCATCTCTGTTTCATTATGTTCTCTGGTGTTTCCCAGCTGTTGCCAATACTGCTCCTGCATGGGTACAGCTGCAGATTGGTATCCTAGGCAGGCTGGCACATGAGCAGCTGCTGACCTGGCACACACCGTGTTGTGTTATGTAGTCTGTTTCCCCAGCTGAGCCTGTCAGGTACAACCCATTGCCAACATAAAAGCAAGACGCAGCCCAGTGATCAGCATGTCACTTCCAAGAGTGGCCGCTTAAACGATAAGGCATTTGTGCCCAGTGCTAAGAAGTGCCTGGCATCTCAAAAAGCCGAGTGTTTTGGGCGTTCATCATGAGCCGTGCAACCTACGGGTATTCCTCCCCTGTGTGCTCTTCATCCCCGCCCCTCCTTGCTCTCCAGTCACCAGTGCAATAGAACGGTTTGGGTTGGAAGGCAGCCTTGAAGAAATAAGTCATCTCAAGGTCCTGTTCCAACCCAAATCATTCTGTGATTTTCCCCGCTAGCCGAAGGGAGGGAAAAGCCTCCTTCCTTCGGAGGTTGCGCCTCTCTCACCTGCGCCTCGGCCGGGTCTCTTCTTCCTGATCTCCCCCACGGCTGCGGGCTGAGGGGGGCTGGGCGTGGGTGGCAGCGGCAGCGACTGGATGTTGCTCGGCTTATGGAACTGTGACAGCAGGTGGGGAGACTTGGGGGGCAGTGGAGGGGGCACGTCG